TGGCAAGCATCGGGCGACCGGACGCTGGGGTCCTGCGTTCGGTCGATGTGACCGGAGCGTCCGGTCACCCCGAGCAGTGCCCAGTGAAGAGGTACAACGGCTCTATTTCGTGGGAGCTTCTATTTAAGCCCCATTGTCGGCTCTAGCTCACTCTTTTGGCCATTTGTATTGACATAGCAACCTTGTAAGCTTAGCCAAAGCCCTCCCACTCAACTCCATCATTGATTCATAATCTTTGTGAGATTGGGAGTGAATCCAAGTGCATTGCTTGAGTGTTTGCATCTAGAGGCACTTGGTGTTCGTGTTTTGCTATGGGATTCGCTTGTTACTCTCGGTGGTTGCCGCCACCTAGACGGCTTGGAGCAGCGAGGATCGTCGAGCGGAGGTTGGTGATTGTCTTCGGCTCCGATCATGGTGATTGTGAGGGGTTCTTGACCTTTACCCGACGGAGAGCCAAAAGATACTCTAGTGAATTGCTCGTGGCTTGTGTGATCCTCATCTTGTGTTGGTTGTGCGGCACCCTATTGAGGGTTTGGCGTGTGATGCCAATTAGCGCGTGAAGCTCTAAGTGAGTGAATCACCACAACGAGGACTAGCTTGCCGGCAAGCAAGTGAACCTCGATAAAAAATCATTATGTCAATATTTGATTCTGAGGTGATTGGTCTTCATTGATATTGATTCTTGTGATTGATTGGTTCATTCTACGACCCAGCGGTATAATCATCTTGCTCACTCTCTTTACATTACCGCAAACTAGTTGTCAAGCTCTTTAGTGTAGCTAGTTGTGAGAGCTTATTAGTTTGGTTAGTGTGGCTCTTTAGTTAGTTTTTGAGAGCAAACGAACTTAGTATAGTACCATAGCCATTGTGTGGTTAGAAACAATAGAAACTAGAATTGTGGTAGGTGGCTTGCATTTTTGGTAGGCTAGCGCAACACTTGCTTCGTCTCATAATTGTCTAACCGGTTTGTTAAGTGTTGTTGTAGAAATTTTTAATAGGCTATTCACCCCCTCTAGCCATTAGGACCTTTCACCACTGTTAATAAATAAGGGTACATGGATAATTTCAATTGAGCAGTAATATGCCTCAAAAATCGTACAACATCAAGTTTTTTCGGGACATAGTGAGTATATGTGAAATTGTACTAGATTTATTATGTAATAATTTTGTATCTTCTAATGTAATATATACTTTTAGGATCAATAGTAAAGACTCCCTTCGCCCTTAAAAGACTCTGTTTCTATCTTTGTCCTATGTCAGACTATCTTAAAACTGATCAAGTTTATACAAAAAATATCAATATTTATAATACCAAAGTATCATTAGATTCATAATATAATATATTTTCAGGGTATACATATTTGGGGTTATAAATGTTTACTCTTCTCAATAAACTTAGTGAAACTTAAGATAATTTGAGTTAGGAAAAAAACTAGAAACAAAGTCTTTTGGGGATAGATGGAGTAATACACCCAACAAGGTAAGTGGTAATTTGGAGATAAGGTAATAATCCTAAGAATTTTTAGAATTTTTCTTCTTTGTCAATCAGGAGTTAAAATGAAACATAGGGATTAATTTACGAAGTTGTTGCAATAATGTAAAAAGAGATCCAAAAAACAAAGAACATGTGCATCCTACATCATGTTAAGCAAACTTGCTAAACCTGAGAATATGAAGCAAAATTGCGTTCAGGAAGGTTGTGGTGTAATCAGTAACACAGAACACAAGTAGGAAGAAAACAGGTAACTATTGAATGAATCTATATAGCACAACCTGGAGCTGCAATCATGCATCTAGTCAACACAAGGAGAGATGAACTAATTAAGTGAATGAAATATGGGAAGACCATTCATTCTTAAGGAAACCTGAACTTCTAAGTGTTCTACCTCTATTGACCAATAATTGTAAGTAACTAACATGAAATCCAAGAAAAACCAAATATTTCCAAGAAGAAAATGATAAATATCATATCATCTAATTTGTATAGCTTGTCTAAAAAAATCTAATTTGTATATGTGTTGTACAGATAATTCTCGTTCTATTTGCCCAGGCACACAATCATAGAACAATATCCACAATTTAGTCCTAGCCTGTGTATTAGTTCCCAAGTATTTACAGTTGTTGCTGTCCCCACACCTTTGATCTCTAGTGCATTTCCACATCCATCCACTATTTTTTAGGACTTAATTAAACTCTATACTCAATAATTGTTGTCTCGCTGTCGAGAGGCACACTGAAAGAAACATTAACCGTAAATGAAAGCACCTGTATAGAGTCAGAGAGTCAGACTTCAGTGATCGATGAGAAGGTTCTCTAAGAACTCACAAGCAAGAAACTTAAGTCTTTAGCTCAGTTTGCTTCTCTCTCCTATCCTCAACCTCATTCTTGGCTAGCTAGTATCTCACGCGTAGGTACCCTTTGGTCCATATAAGGCCTGTGCATCCACAAAACCAGGTTACCAGAGAAGCTAGCACTAACTAAGTAATAATACACAAACAGTCCAATCAGATGGGAGAGATTTCAATTTGACTTACAAATTCTCTGTAGATTTTTCGAACACCATGTTTATTATTTACATAAACATACCATGGTTTTCAGATGAACTGATCTAGTCCTCCGGATGATTATCAACGTCACATTTTTGGCGTTACCTTCGATCTGTCAGTCGAAATGGATGCATGTAAAAGCTACGTTAAGTAGTCATTTGGAAGTGTTTTTGTTTATTTGGGCGTCGAGCATCAATCCTTTTACAAGATGGGATAGAGATCCATCACATGCGTAATTCGTCGTCACTTGACTATTACATAATAAGGTTAACACAACTTGGAGTGTTTAATTATAGCTATGAAAAGTATGAGCTTTACTGAACAAATTAACGCACACAGCTCGCCTTTAATAAACATGTAAGAAGGCTGAACTTTGAATGATTAGTCCTCATTCTCCCAAACAATGTTGATGGGCTGTCCAACAATAGTTTCCTTTTTTTTTAGAGGAAACCACAGCAATTTCTTTACATCTTCTGTAGGGACAGTTATGAAAAGGGGCTGTTGTTTGAGTTCAGTGGATGCCCTGGTTCTAGCTACCTGCTGGCTAGTTGCTAGTTGCTACTGCTAGTATGACCATTTTAAATGGTTGCTGGAGCCTGGAGATATAGTAATAGGTAATGAGCAAGTGGTGCATATTATGCAGAGGTTCAAATCATGATTCTTTTGCTTAATGCTGAATTGCTGATGCTGTAAAGGAGTGCCATGTATACGTAATCAAAATTACGTAGGTGTTTAAACAAGAGTATAAAGTGGAGGGGTAAAGGCTTGAATTGATTCAGAGATAATTAAGTTGGAAACAACATAATGGCTATACATGATCTCTACCAGGAGGAATAAATTAATTAGAGCATGTAGGTACAGGTAGCAGACTTTTCTTGCTCTGAATATCACAGCAGCAGTAGGCATGGTTTCAGATTGATTTATGTGGCAAGCATATAGATACAAAACTATATAGTGAGTAACCAGAGTACTCTAGAATCAGATTCATTTTTAGCGCTAGCTGGTCCTTGGGCTGAGCAAAGGCTAGGGCTTTTTTGTGCTTTTGTTAGATTTGCGGATCAACCTTTTTCTAATCAGCTGGGAGCTGAGAGTGAGCATGCAAGCAATGCAAGCTTCTAGAAAGAATTATTAGCTGCCTGAGACATCGGTCCTCCTGACATCAAAGTTTTTGTTTGACGACATAAGCACAAAAATAAGCGTCAGTGTGCGGTGTCTGGTCATAAACTAAAGTCAAATTTTTTAGTTATCTAAAAACAAACGTAGTATATATACTATGTAGCAGGAGGGAGCATGTGGAGGTATGGCGTTTTATATCATTATATATATGCTATTATACTTGGTGAGAATTTGATGCTCGACCGACGACCGGGCCGGGCAAGTTGAAACCAGTCAAAATTCATGGTTATATTTATCTCAAAAAAAATTCATGGTTATTGATGCATGCATGCAAGGACTAGTCATGGGTGTACGTAGGGCATTTGTCTCCTCCTCTCTGAAGAACAAAGGAGCGACAGGAGCCCAATATCTCTAAAGTTGACGAGCACGTTGATACGCACTTAGTGTGTTGCCATACTAAATTAAAGGAGATCAACAGGTACAAATACAATATATAGGTGTGCATACTCTTACTTCTTAGGTACTGTTATAATACTGTATATATATGAAAAGCCCACAGTATCTCTTTAATTTTGGGTGAAGTACACTGCAATCTTTTATCCTTGATTCCTTATATTCTAGTATAGATTGTTATTTTAGTTTTTGTGCAGTACTACGCCGTCTAATGAAAATTGACAGCATGCATGTGCAGTTGAGTTGGGTCGTCTGGCCTCGTTAAGCATAGTGTATTTCCCCATTTGAATAGGCCATATGTATCTTCTCTTGGCCTATATGGCCTTAGTTAACTCCACCTTGAATTCAGCTGTATTCCTTGTTCTGATAACACATTCTGCATACCGGTACTAACCGGAAACAGATGAGATATTGTTGTTGAATCAGACGTCTATTGATAAAAAAAATGTCAGTCTCATCGTTAATCAGAGAGTACACATTGCTATCGAAAAAGCTTTAGTTGGATTCTGTAGAACTCCCTGCGATATCAATTAGACAGGCGAGAAATCTTGTGTTTGCCGGTTCAAATATTTTAGAAAAAAACAGAGAAAAAACAATGGCCAAGTAAGTATGGAAACAAGACACACAAGATTTGTTTCTTTTATTCATTGACGATACACAAACTTAGCAAAGCATATACATGGATCATGGATGCATGCTGATGGAAACACACGAGAAAAGGTGGGTACACACACATCGTCCATACATAGTACTACAGTAGTACACACTCTTTCTCTCTCTATATATAAAGAGAGAGCTCACTCTTACACAAATATAGTATTACTTATTAGTCATAACCAAAAGCTATAGGTGGTATGCACGTTGATCGGTGCCACTATGCTCCTCTTAGTTCCCTTCCATGACGCCCGTGCCAATGGGTGGTGAAAGAGATGGTGGCTCTGGCTTGGATGGTTCTGGTTGGGGTTTTGGCTCTGGTGTAGGTTTGGGCCTTGGCTGGGGCTCTGGTTCAGGTTGGGGTTTTGGGCTTGGTTGAGGATCTGGCTGAGGTTTAGTTCCCGGCGTAGGTTTGGGGATTGGCTCAGGCTCGGGCTTTGGTTCAGGTCGTGGGGAGGGTGGCTGTGGTGTTGGTTTTGGATCTGGCTGCGGTGTAGGTTTGGGTTCTGGTTTTGGGTCTGGTTGTGGTGTGGGTTTTGGTTCTGGTTGCGGTGTCGGTTTGGGTTCTGGCTTTGGGTCTGGTTGTGGTGCAGGTTTCGGTTCCGGTTTAGGTTCTGGCTTCGGATCTGGTTGTGGTGTGGGTTTTGGTTCAGGCTGTGGCGACGGCTTAGGTTCTGGCTTTGGGTCTGGTTGTGGTGCTGGTTTTGGATCAGACTGCGGTGTCGGCTTGGGTTCTGGCTTTGGGTCTGGTTGCGGTGCAGGCTTTGGTTCAGGTTGTGGCGTTGGTTTGGGTTGCGTCTTTAGGGCGAATACCCTACTATGAGCAGGGCTAGGAACATTTGCAGCCAGTGTAATGGCTAGGGCTAGGTGGAAACATAGCGAGAAGAGGCTGGACCTCATGGTCGCCACCAGTCCAGATGGGCGCTTGATCTCACTCCAATCTCTATCTGTTCGATCTCCAGTGCAAGCTGGGGAACGCTTGTGCACAGATGGCATGGACGGCATGGGTGATTTATAGGCATTGAAAGCCAACCGAGGCTTGACGCGTGTCCATGTCCCTGTTCGTGATTTTGCCATGGCACTGGCCCGGTATAGCTTGCAGCTTTTAGATGTGTGTATATAACTTTAGCGCCCACCAGACAAATCACTGTGTCGGAAAAGAGAATTATCATTTGTGCAAAGGTCATTTCCATTAGTGAAGTGCTACTTGTTTCATTCTTCGTACGACGAAACTGCAGCCTGTTACTAGTTGGTAATAAATATATAGTGTTATAAATAAGCTGCAGTATTATATATAGCACAGCGCGCTAGTAGTAGTCAGTACAGAATGGATTTTGGAGATGAATATATTTTTTTTATTTTAAGAGACGATCAAGCTGTTGTCTCTAAACCAATGGTCGCGGTTAATCGTTAATTCGTTATTTGTAGAGGCGGTAGAAAACCCAAAAAACATAAAAAAAATTGTCCTGAGGATACAAACTACAACTTAATACTAACACTTCCTTACCATTGTATCGTACAATCACTTGTCAGTACATAAAGGATTCTATCTTTTTTTTACAAATATTTCGTAATCTTGTATTGAATATTTTGAATACTAAATAAACTCAACTGAAAAAACTTTCAACTACAAAATTTTAAATCTTGTCAAACACTACAACTTTGGTATATGATGTATCTCCATTCGTGATTGTTTGAAAAAATAAAAAATTTTAATATCAAAATATGTTAATTTAAAACAAAATGTTTAAGACACCAAACAACTTCAAATCAAAACACTTATTCACAGAAAAAAAACATAGATCAGATTGGGCACTACAACTTTGATATTGACTATGTGAACATTCAAGGCCATTTACAAATTTTAAATTTTGAATTTCAAATTTACAATCTTAAAACACATATTGAAGACTCTAAACTGCTTCAAATCAAACAAATTTCAATTACGAAGTTATAGATTGTATTGAGAACTACAACTTTAGTATATACCATGTCAACATACGAGGTTGTTTGGAATTTTAAATTTTAAATTTCAAAATTCATAAACTTAAAACGATATTTTGGGACTATCAGTTTCAAATAAAAAACTTTTCAACTACAAAGTTGTAGAACGCATCGAGGACTAAAATTTTGATATAAAATTTGTCTTCACCCGAGTTCATATAAAATATTATGAATTATTTTTGACATCTTGAAATGTTCACCTCTAAAATCGATTTTTAGATAAAGGCGTTTAGAATGATCATCTTTGTTAATAGCGATTTCCAGAGACAGCCATCTTAAGATGTCTACCTCTAGAAATTGATTTACAGAGATGGATGTCCTAAGACAACCACCTCTGTTAATTGATGATTTTGAGGAACAGTCGCGTTAGGACGCTTGCCTCTGTGAATGATTTTCAGAGGAGAGCATTTTCCTAGAGGCCGCCTGGCCATTTACGAAGGCGGTCGCTAGATGTTCCCGCCTTTGTTAATTAGAGAGGTTGTCTCCTAAAATCGTCTTTATGGTAGTGAGTACTAGATGTCTAATTACACTAGTAAAAAATGATTTTGTCAAGAAAAATTTCACTGGAGGTTCATAATAACAAGCACTAGTAGAAATAAAACTTTGGGCCCATGGCTATGATCCATCAATGGAGAGTGTCTCTAATAGCGGATTTCCTAAGGTTACCACTAGTACAAATTGTCTACTTATAATGACGGTAGGCTTAAGACAACCACAAGTGTAATTTGAACTTACACTAGTGCTTATCTTAAGAATACCGCTTGTGATCTAAGATTGGTACTGGTGATAACTTTAATAAAACCACCATTATAGATATATTTATATTGGTGATTTTCTTAACCTACCGCTAGTATGAATAATCTAAAATTATTTTTTTTGGATTTTTTAAATTACCTAGGATGTAGAAAATGTTTATACTGGCGTGATTTGTGACTTAAGCCATTTCTAGGTGGCTAGTGGGCCTCTCTCTCCCAGGTTAAAACAAAATTTTTATTATTATTTTTGGCCCGGTTTACAAATTCTAAAACTATTTGTAGAGCCAGTTTGTGTATGCATGTCATCAGTGTAAATCAATTTACACCACTTAAGCCAACTGCCAATATAAATATTTACAATGGCGGTTCTCAAACTTATTAAGTCAGTGGAAAATCATCATTTTTACTACCTTTCACACGGATGGTTCAAAAAAAAAAAGGCTCTGTGAAAATCCAAAAAAGTACCATCAGTACTAATGTTTTCTGTACTATAGCTAGTGTAAGATGCTGTTACTGCAGGTATCACGCGGTTATTTGATCACAAAGTCAGAAAAGAATATTAAGAAAAGGAAATTTGGAGAAAGGTCGATGGATCGTGCGACAGATCAGACCTAACTTTGACAGTATCGGAGTAGTGCGGATCGACGTACGCGAACTGCCCTCATGCATGCTGGATTATATTGCCGGCCAGTGTATAGTACATGCATATATGTGTGTGTTTTTCGTACATAACACACGTTCATGATGCATATATAATACGCTGTACGTGTTGCTGTGCAGTTAACTAATTAGTTAAGATTCAGGGGCACTATATATATTTTTTAATTACCAGCCAGTGACCCAGTGTGTTATGCTATGCTTTTGGAAGTTGGAACCAGTATTGTATGTACTGTTGTACTCGCTGGTGTATAGTAGCTTTCTTGGATGGCTTTGCTGGAACACACGGATCTGGAGTGGACACGTACGATGGCAACAGGCACGGTAGGTGGATATGCATGTGCAAGGCAGATGCATGGATTGGAGATGACCGGCGCGGCTCTGGCGCGGCGGCGCCCCCACAACCGCACTAATCGATCGATCGGCAAAGCAAAGCAAAGCAAAGCAATGAGTGAAACACGACGGCCGGAACGGACGACGAGACACAACTAACGACGATGGAGTGAGTGATCATGCATCGAGCTAGCTAGTAGTGGCGCGTACGCGGAGGAAGGGCATGATCGAGTTCAAGCCCGCCGGCCGGCGTGCGCGTGCGGTGTGCCTCTATCTACTGTCGATCATGCGAGCAAGCCGTGTGAGCCCCGCGCCGCGCCCGCGCGCGTGCATAAAGGCGAGCTAACAACTCCGGTCCCTTTTGCTTTCAACCCATCAGCATTTACATCAGATCTACCTCATCCGATCCCCTTCACAAGAATACAGATAGATAGATAGATCGGAGCTGAGAAATAAAGAAGTTCTCCAATTCCATGCCCCTATTGCATACATCTTAAGCATGCATTGCCATATGTGCTTCATGTATAATAGGATATTATGTATAGTTTAATACATGATCACAGTCTAATCTCATACATAGGTGTGCGGAATACTTAGATCGGATGCAGACTAGAGCTGTTGTGAATTAGCCATGCGTTCACCAGCTCAGGTTTTCTTTCGATTATTTGTGGAAGATGCCATTAGGATTGTTCACCAGCACAGGGGTTCTTACGATGACTTGAGGAAGATGCTAGATAGAGGTGACCTTTCTAGCTGCCACTAGGCCGGATTGGCCTTGTTGACGGGGTGTCAGCCTTTCTATGGATTTGTTTGGGCCCAGTTTAGATGCAAATTTTTTTACAAAATGAGTATGGTAGTATTTTCGTTGTTATTTGGCAATTAGTGTTCAATCATAGTCTAATTAGGCTTAAAAGATTCGTCTCATGGATTTCGTCTAAACTGTGTAATTAGTTTTATTTTTTTATTTATATTTAATGCTTCATGCATGGGTCTAAAGATTCGATGTGACGGAGAATCTTGAAAAATTTGGCAAAACGAAATGAAACTAAATAGGGCCTTGGTAGGCCTTATTGTCGGCTTCACAGAGTTGAAAATAGCTACTCATCCTACCAAATGCGTCAGCGCCCGTGAAGCTGTGGATTTCCTGCTGACATAAGAGGGGGCGAAAGGGAAGAAGCTGAAAAATGTAGCTTCATCTAGCTTCCTCTCATGGTGGAACCCAGCGTGGACTTAGGCGGATTTGCCCCCATGCCAACGCGGGCGCGGGTCGTCGAGGCGCGGCACGCAGGACAGACTCGCCGAGGCTGGGCCGGATAAGACGAAGGGGAAATAGAAATGGGAAGGAAATAAAAAAATAAGAGCAATATAGTCATTGTTTACATCAAAATTTGGGAAGAAGAATGTGGGAACTCGAAGCTTTCAAGATTGTATCAATCAAGGAATCAATTGCATAAGGATCGATATCAGCTGATTCAGATGCGGCACTAGAATTGGCTCTCTTCGAATGACGTCAGCAGATAATGACAATGAGCTACGGTTGGCGTCGGGAAATACATATCGGACTCTATAAAAAGAAAAAGATTAGGGTCCAAGTTATCTTAAGTTAGGAATGTTTTCTTTTATACCAAAGATTGTAATGAGTCGTACTTGAGTAGGATTCATGCTTAGGTTCCGGGTATAAATATTGGACCCCGGCTATTGTAAAAAAGGACATCAATCCAATTAATACAATTTACTTTTTTTGGCTTTACGCCAACCCTTAGGAGTAGGAGTAGTGTAGATCTCGGCGAGTTCTTCAACAAGCATGGCTGCATCGGTCCGGCCGACCTCTGGCTTGTCTGTAAGTACCATCATGGCTTATATTTCCGTTTGTAAGGCTGCATCGGTTAAGTTCGATCTCCACTGCGAACTCTAGTATAAGTTAGTTATTGATCCTTATCTAGTTCAAGTATGACTGCATCGGTTAAGTTCGACCTCCACTGCTTGAATTAGATTAAGGTCAAGTTATTGGCTCAACCTAGGGGTGGCATCCTTCGGGTAGATTCATTAAGTTACCGATCTTGCTGATGTTCTTATTGTTATTAGTTTTCAGCAACATCAACCTGCCCGATCAAGATCGATCTAGATCGGCCTCATATCCTTTTAGTCCGTCATTCGCTTTGTTACAATACGATGTTTCTTACTTTGAGCGACGGGCTATGTTTCATCGGCTGTTCTACTTCGATCTTGATCGTGCATAGTACGCGGTTAAGGCATGTCTGATCTTGAGAAGGTTTGCTGGCCAGTTAAATCTGGTCCATAGTTCGCTATTATGGCTGTAACGATCCG